AGGGACCAATTTTGTTCCTTGTCATTTTCGAAAGTTAATGATGATATAAAAACACAAATATTAGCTTGATGAAGACGATGTTTTTTCTAATAAATGTACCCGTAATTAAGAGTGAAGCAGCATTGTTTGAAGCTTGTGGGCTGAAGCAAACTTTTTCTGAAAAATGTCTGAACAGGTGAGATTTTTCAGAAGTTGCTTGATTTGAGATTTTTTTTCCCCCCTAAGCTAAACCAGCTAGTGGTTCATAACTTGGTTACCTATAACAACATAATGTTTGCAATAATGCCTGTGAATATTGTTGCTGTACCTCAAACACTTAATTTTATAAATGGCCTCAAACTTTCGATTTCGTCGACAGTGAAGCCTATTGAGAAATCAATATTTAAAAAACCCTACCTTCGATTTTTCTTAAAATACCATAAAACGTTCCTTGCAGATGAAAGAAAATAATAAAAAACATATTGCATTATTTTATTTGCAACAACAATATTACGGGTGGAAGTTCCTGCTTTCCGAGCATGCACATAGATGATAAACGCATGAGAAATCGGGCTTAAAAAATGGGCTTGAGCTTCTGAGTCATTTGAACAGGACCATGTTTACAGAGGAAATGAAGACTTGGTAAACGGGAATGACCGTCTCATGCCGAGGCTTCAGATCCCCAACTTATTGGCACCTCGGTTACATGAGGCAGCTATTACAGTCGTCTGCTTTTACAGTCATCTGTTATTACAGTCATCAATAACTTGGCACTTTCTGTGTTTGTGTACCTTCAATTTTTCTTCACGGCTGGGAAATTAGTTATCTGGGGTCCACTGATATGACCGATTCTTGATAATGTATGCCGTATGGCGCATGTATGTGCAATTCTGCTTATTTTGTGTGGCTATGCACAGAATCTGTTTCCTATATTTTGCAGTTGGTTTGCAATAAACGTTGGTTGTTAGTTCAGCGCTCTGTTCTCGTCTCCCCTATCCCCTCCTGTCGTTTGTGCTGTTAAGCTCTTTCTTTGTCTACCAATTTGAGACATCTACAAGAATCTGAGAGAGACGTGCAAGCAAGCGTGTTTTCCACCTGGCACGTTGCTAACAACACAGGTGGCTTTCTCAAGAATATTCATTGGGCATGCCAGCAATCATTGAAATCACTCGAGAGCGTGGTCAAGTCACGCACTCTATGAGAAGCAGACACAGATAATGACTTTGGGCATTGTATGTTCACCAACGGTGCTGTACACATCACCTGTGACACAAACATTGAGGCATGATTTCAGCTACAATTACAGTAGATATTGTAGATATGATCACAGATAGTACGCATTGGTAAATTGCCCGGCCGAACTTCATTGTGCCCAAGGGGCTGAAATTCAGTTGTTCCGTACACTCCTCAGCATCAAGACAGGTTATACGAACTCGGGTGCTGAAATGGTCGAGTGAGGCCTGACACTTCCACGCTCTGGAAGCTCGGAAAACCACATTGGCCATGATAATTGATAGCAGTGCATAGTCGGAGAACTTTGGGCAATGCAGCCTCCTTCATCCTGAACCAGATCTCGATAATGGCGCCATGCAGGAAGTCTACCCACGTAGTTTTGAAGGAGCACGCACGACCTGTGCACATGGAATGAAAACGGATTGGAACCGTTTGCTACAGCCACTGAGCTCAAAAGTATGGTTGCTATCAATGTAATTGTTGATAGCAGCTGCGCTGCATTCAAGTTGCACAGCTAATGCTGCTGTATATTAGAAGCAATCAAGTCGTAAAAAGGCACTGTTTTTCGGCATTCCTGTCCACTTATGACTGTCGGAGAGGCGACTCAGGATCTTAATTTTCAGTTAGCTTAAAGCAAAGCTTTGATGCGTGCGTTCGCAGCAACCAGTTGTTCTGTCCCATATTAATGGTCTGTTCACACGTGTCCCAAAAGGACTTATGAGAGTTCTTTCGGCGGAAATTGCGGGACTGAGACTTGCCCATCATTGTTGCATGGATTTCGCCTATTTCCGCTACCCACGCGGCCATTCATGACTCTCCCTTTAGCACGGTTTGACGGTGCTTTGCGAGGAAGGTGACGTGCAGCCTCCTTCATCAGGAACCAGATCTCAATGGTGGCACCATGCAGGAAGTCTTGCGAGGTGTTTCACGCTCGGTGGGAAAACACGTTTTTCTTTCCCGTCCGTCCGCTGTTTTGAGGTTCGCTCGGGCTGAATTTTCCAAATGTGCCTTGCGTCAGCTAAGAGCGCTCATCTTAGGTTGTCCTTCCTTCCAAATGCTTGGCTGAAGAGCGGTGCAGTGTGTTCGTGCACGATCATACTATGCTGAGCCACATTTATCGAAAGTCCATCCCAACGGAATGTGCCCACCCTTGAATGATCCGGTCTAGTGGTCGTTGATTATGAAAGTATGCAGCATGATCAGTTGACCTTTTCCCTTAGTGACAGCTCTCCATAAGCCATTGCCTATGAAGACGTACTACCGGCACCCATTTGCCTTGCATTTCCGCCTGTGGCATGGTTAAACCTTTTGCTTTTCCCGTCGCCTTCGAGAGCAGGTGTGGTATGTCATGTTCGTAGTGTTACCACAGGCAACATAAAGTGTTGCAGATTTTCGAAAGCAGTACTGTGTACTTGCTGTGCTACGCTCAACGCCTTCGTTTCCCAAACACGCGTGTGTTGCGGCGGGCTAGCTCACGTGAAGTGACGATAAGCACAATGGTTCGCAAAGTTCAAACCCATACTAGTGGCTGTACTCTAGTGGGATTGAACGCCATGAAGTAAATATTTTTTGCGCATATTATGGTTTGGACTGATTTTGCCAGTTTTTTTTTTTTTTTTTTTTGCGATACGAAATTTCGAGTGATACAAATGCTTTTGTTCCGATGGAGTCGGAAATGTTGTAGGCCCGTGTGCTCAGATTTGGGCACACGTTAAAGAACCCCAGGTGGTCGAAATTTCCGGAGCCCTCCACTACGGCGTCTCTCATAATCATATGGTGGTTTTGGGACGTTAAACCTCACAAATCAATCAATCAATCAAATGTTTTAGCTTTGAGATTAGCATCTCTGAGATTCCACTGTATTTACATTTTTTATACGGCAATTACGTATACAGTTAAACCTTCAATATATCATATTTACTCTCGAGATGAACACACTTTTTTTCTAAAAAAATCAGAGCAAAGTTGGGGGTGCGTTTATTATGTGGGGCAAATTTTATAAGAACATTTTCGGGATGAGCGAAAAATGCGATAATGCAAAAAAAAAAAAACGTTTGGAAACAGCTTCTTTGTTGCACTTCACTCATCTTTGGTAGTTGAAGGCACTATCTTCTGCAGGCATTCCCTGTGCCGCCCGCGCACTCCATAAAAGCATTTGGCGCTCTTTTTTTTTTCTCGGGATCGTTTAATTGCAACAGGGGTATCTGCAGCGATCTCGAGGGGCCTCCTGAAGCATGCACTATGATGCGACAGTGCACTTTGCCAACTTTGTGGCAACCTCGCATGATGACCACGACAACAAGGTTGCCATTGCACCAAGCTACCACCGAAGCACCCAAAAGAAACCATTGATAACAAGATTAACACCAAAATAAGGCTGTCGTCTCGCTGTCCACATGAGATGTTACGGTAGAACACGCGAATAACGAGCATCAAGAGCAAATTGCAACGGAAGCGAGAATCTAGGGTGCTACCATGATGCGGAAATCGTCACGATCTTTTCTGGGCGACAAGCTATTTTTTTACAGGTTTTTCAAAAACCTGTGACGCGATGGCAATGAACGATAAATGGCCCTTTGCAACAACGACGACGACAGCAAACCCTGTTGTCGTTGCTCAAATATTATGGGCATTTAAAGTTTCGTATCTGCTGGAGGCGATCGTCGGTTGGTGTGGGCAGTTTCGTGACCTTTGCTTGCTGTGTGCTGCTTATTAGCTGCGATGTCTGTACAGTAACACAGTTGGTCAACCCCGCTGTGGCGCACAAACATAACAAAAGAAGAGAGGGGATGTGCCACAGGGCAGTGTGCATGGGGAGGAGGGGGAGCCGAGGGTGTTGACATAATTATAAAAGAACAAGAAATATCCAACAGGCAAGGAGGTGTCGGTTAGCAGGACTGCAGCGGACAAATTTAGGGGGTGCGTTCATTACACAAGAGAAAAAAAAATCTACATGTTGACAACTGAAGTTGGGGGTGCATTTATTATGCGAGTGCATTCGTTATGCACTCGCATTACGCACTTGCATAATGACTCCAGAAATGGGGTTGACAGTATTGAAAATAAATAAATAAAATAAAATTACGAGAGTAAATGTGGTAATTACAATACAGTTGAACCCACAAATACAGTTGAAATTAACAAAGTCATCATGACCCGCTAGTTATTTTGATTAAATGCAAAGTTCGTAAAGTCAGCAACACAAGAAAGTTCCTTCGAGAGCGACGGTTCTATTGGTTAGGGAAAAAGATCATGATTTTTGCCTGCATGCGTTTCGGGAGCTGTGGGAGCACACAGTTCCCAGGGCAAGAAGTGGGATCGGATGGGAACCAATCGTGTCAAAAGTAGAGGAGAGTATCAATGCTGCCTTGTGTCGCACGCGAGATTAAGCACCTTTTGCCGCTTTTGCCGTGACTGGCTCGAAGCCTTGAAAGAAATGCACAGTCTGCCTTTCCACGCAGTTTCGATTTTAATTTTGTAAACCCTCATTTTTTAAGCATTTTTTTTCCCCAGAGTGCTTTGTTAAATCAGGTTTGACGAGGACATTCGTTTTGTCATATCGTTATTTCAAGATCATGAAAACATTAGTAGGAAAGGAGAAGGGGGGTTCGCATTGGTATGTTGGATCGGGAAATTTGTAAAATCTGGTTTCAGTGAAATCGGCTTTCAACTGTGGCACATCCTATGATTGAGTACAAATGAAAGAGCGCTGGGTATTGCATTTGTATTCATAAATTTAAATGCTTGCCTGCTTGTACACGTTAGTTGTGTGGGTCCACTTCTTACAGCCTCCAAAGAAATTCGTGGCGTATATCATCCTACCGAATGGGAAAAAGTTCACGAGTGCATGCTCGGACAACCAGAAGAGTGCACTGCAGGATGCAGCCCAGCAGGCTCTTGCATTTGTCACCGTGAGTCTCTCAATGGTTTTTTTTATTAATTCTTTTTTCACAAGACAGGAGGATTGTGTCAAGCACACAATCTCTCTCATCCAGAAGAAAACTCTTCACTCTCTTGTCAGAAAAGGTACGCTGAAAAAATTTCACACTAGTTGCGTTTGTACAAACGCTCCCATCAGAAACATTGATTTTATCAGCTGGCTTTCCTGCAGAGCCGAGTTGCACAAGGGTCAAGCTCGCTATATTTTAACGTGCAAGATTCGGGATGGCAAAGTGGGTTTAAAGCGAGTTTTATCAATATATACCCAAAGCGAAGATTTTGGACATGACATACGAGTGCTCTCTGAAGATTGAGCCAATAATTATGCACAGCACGCATGTTACAACGCACATGTACAGTGCAGCATATCGCAGGCAGCCGCTCAATTCCATTATCGTCAATCGCAAAAAGTCTGAAAGGACTGAGAAGTGGTAGTTATTAATGTTCCGAATTTCAAATGTTTTTCTACGTTAAACTGTACACGTTGCAGGACTGCACTACGGGTATTGTGGTGGTGTGGAAAATCAGTCACTGATTCTATTATGTCGAGTGACTCGATTAACCGGTGTCGGGAAGAAAAGCAGCTTCATTGGGTAGAAAACATTCGATGTGCACGTGCATGGTTTATCATAGACCTCTCAGCTTTATAACTCTAGTTCTTTTCTGCATTTCAGAAGAACCAATGTGACTTATTTTTTTAATGTTATGTAATCTGGTGCAGCTACGTATACAGAAATGTTTCTTTCCATATTCAGTATTTTTGCAGTTCTTAGGAGTAATGATTGGGCCACATATTACATAGAAGGATCATTGAACCTTTTAGTAGCGTGAACTTCAGGGATAAGAGACAAAGAGAATGCGACACACAAGCTCTAAAATTCTAGCTAAAGTACTTATTAAAAAAAATCATGAAATAATATTGGTAACCTTGCCCCTGCTCACCTCCTCAACCACAAAACCACAACAAACCAAAGTGATAAGCTTCAGCTCAACATCAGTTGCGTGGGAGTGCTCTCCTAAAGATGCGAGAAATAGTAGAAGCAGCAGAGATGGCCAAGAATGATGGCCAGTGCATCAGCGTGCCTCCCATTGCACTGACAAAAAAAAAAAAAAAAAAAAGCTGTGTTTTTTAGGTGTATCTAAAGTGCCTTGTGATTTCATAATTTTTTGTTTTTTTACGTAATTGTTGTTCAGCTGAAGCTTACGTTGGGGTGTCGTGGTGTGTGGTTGTGAAAATTTTGTCGTTGTGAAATATATAGGCAACCGCACTGGCGCACATTTACCCCAACTTGCAACCCCTTCTGGGCAAAAAAAAATGTTGACTTGAAACACGGCCTCATGCTGCAGCCATAGCACACCACTAAGTCTTTCGGAAGAGGGAGGGATGCAAAGAAACATTTATATGGCCGTGAAACATCGCTTATGACTTGTCATTGCTTGAGAGAAAAATGCCGCACTCACGGTCATCCCCATCGTGTGAGCCACTGCTGCTGCTCGCCATTGGAAGGGGTGCTGGTGTTACTGAGATGCTGTACATGCAAAGTGCCACGTAGACCATGTCTGTTGGCAATCCATACCAGACATAATTAACCCATTGCACCACTTCACACAAATAGCTTGGTTCGAACTGGGCTAGCGGGATGCATGTATCCTTCGCGACAGTATGTGCTTTTGCTTCAATATCATCATAGCAAACACTCAGGCTCTTGCTTCTTTGGTCGTGAACCCAGTGTCAAACCGCCTCCTCAATGGCAGGGTGTTGTCCAGACTTCAGTCTACGAAAGGAACGGCGTGTCACAGCACACGCGAAAGTCTTGGTCATTTGTTTTCTCTATTCCCTGACGCTCTTTTCCGACACATTGAACTTCCACCCTGCTTCAACGTTGCTTTCTGACTCTGCGTAGAGGATCGCTTGAAAGCGGCATCGTACTGTTGCCGGTGTAGCGGAGGCATCTTGGCATCCGTTCAGCTGCGCGCAAATTGCTCACACTGATCGCGAGCGAGGCGAAAAGCAGAAATGGCGAACAGGCGTGACCTGTGTAAAGACTTGAAGACGCTTGTGGGTGCATGCGTGGGGTGCATGTGACTGGTCACGTGGTTTAGTTCCCCGCAAAGTGTTGCCCGCCCACACGGCACTGCTAGCTTTTGCGTGGAACATCCATGGCGCTTTGTGGGAAATCTGAATTTTCGAATTGCCTAGTTATCAAGTGCGGTTAGGGCACGCTGTCCACTAAAGCGTCACGTCTTTCGCAAACAATAAACATCACGTTTTTTTCGAGCAGATGCATATCGAGTTTTTTGTGACAGATAAACACATGTCGCGTTTCTGCGCGAGCCAAATGCACTGTCATTCCTATATGCGACGAGTGCCAATGTTATTGCTGATCTCACCCTACAATCGCGCCGCTGCGGTGGCGCTACCATCGAAACAGTGATGCCGTTGGCGACCCGTCATGAAAAAATTCCTCATCTACGACGTGCCGTTGCTGGCACCTCCTCTTCTAGCCACTGTAGCTATACCGTAGTTTCGCTATCGTCGTGGCAGATCGTAAAAATGTCCCACTCCGAAAGCGGCGTGCGCGCGTTGGGAGATAGCAGTTTTTGTGACTCTGTTGCCTCTGCAGCTGATGTTATCGATGCGTCGAATAGCAGTGAATCTGAGGATGACAACTGTTCGTGAAGCCCCTCAGAAAAGTCAACTTTATGATTTCGTGTATAGGTCGACTCCTAAACTTTAGAAAGCCACTTCATGAAAAAAAAAAAGGTCGACTTATAATCGGCAATATACGGTAAGTCAGTTTCAAGTTTAACGCTTCTGTGTTGCATCCTTTTTGTCTCTCATCTCTGGAGTTCGCTCTATTTAACAGTTAAATGGCCTACCAACTAGCCCGAACAAGCACCTTGCTAAGAAATAATCGTGCTTACTATTTTATCTTTTGTTACACAGAAGAAAATGCCTGCCTCCCAGCCGGTACAGCCAACACCTATAGCAGGTAAGCACGTACTAGGGACGGTATCAAATTTCATAGATACTTAAAAAAAAAAAAAGGTTGCAAAAGATGTAGATTAGTTGAAGGGGATTTTCATTGCCTAGTTACTCTAGACTTATTGCTGGACCTTGGTGTCCGAGTTTTCAGACACTAATTTGCAACATTGACCATTTCTTATTTACTAAGATTTGTTAATGGCCTCTTGAATTAAAAAATAAGGTCCCACCCATGGCGACTGCTTCGTATTGGCTCATACAGCAGATGCAGAAGCTGCTGTGTAGTGCCATCTTTACAATGAACTGTGCCTGTAATGTCTGACGGGCACTAATCTGCTAGGGCTTGCTGCTGAGGCCTCCTAACAGAAGCCTGCATGCCAACCACCCTTCTTATTTGCCATCTGTTTACACTCAAACTTTGATTTTATGAACACCGATATAACGAAACATTATTTATAACGAATTAAATGAAATCTAGTCGTGCTATAGATATAATGTCAGGAATATACTTTTATATTGAATTTCTTGATTTAACGACCTTACTTTCGTGTAAGATTCAACCAGGAAAATATGTTTCGTTTAAAAGGAGTGCCGTTTAACAGCTGTTTTGTTTACTAAGAGGTGAACTGCGGTGCATAATTCAAGTACGAAGACCACCATATTAGTCGTTTTATATAGTCACAGTCGTTCTATATAGGTAGCAATCGGAGAAACTCCCATTATAGTCTACTCTATTTGGCTCTTATGTTCACAGCAGCATCTTGTACAATGCAGAAATGTTTTCCTACGTTCACGAAGTGCCTCTTCAAGCTTTGATCTTAATGGCTAGCTTTAGCATCCTTTCAATCTCTATTTCTGCTTTTTTCTCGCTTTGCACAGTTCAAGCTCAGCGGCCCAACGTGCCCCTTTCCTTCGGCAACCCACCACAAGCGTGTGCCAGCAGCTTGGGGACACAGTTCAGGATGCCGCCCCCGTGTGAGGCATCGCTCATTCCGGACTCCTTCGTGGAGAGCAACCGTCGCCTGATGGAGACACTGAACTGCATGCCGAGTGAGCAGCAGCTCGGCCCTAGTTTGTCATGGCAGACGCCAAGGATGCCTCTTCCGTTCAACCGGGCACCTGTCTATATGGCAACGTCGGCAGGCAAGGAACCGTACCAGCAGCGCCCCTTCTTTCCCAGTCCCCGCAACACTTTTGCACCACGACCTGCGATGTATATGGTAAGTCTTTTCAAGGCTCCACAAAAGAGGTCAGGTTTTTCCTGCCCAAAATAAATCGGGCACCTTATACTCTTCTTCTTCTTCTTTTTTTTTTTGTGCATGTACACGAAAGACTTAAGGGGAGATGCGAGTCGAAAAATCGCGTTTTTAGCGAAATTTCTCGTATTTCTGATTTTTATTGCATTGTAATCTTCAAACCTTCTTCTTTCATCTGTGAAAATTTCAAAACTAAATTCGAACTGGAAAATGCAAAAAAATGTGTATGAAGGCATCGCGGTGGTTCAAAATTTCGTGAATTTGCGCCGATATTGGCCATCTTTGACTGCGCGCTGCTCCCCGTCGCAGTGCCGCCCACCATCGCGATCAGTTGGGAAAGTTGCGTCCGGCCTTCTTCTTACAGCTCCGACGACCGCCAGTTTCGTACGTGGGCAAAAAAAAATAAAAAACGAGGCCTTTTTATCACGTGGTTTGAGCGGTTTGAAACGCGCGGCACCCTAAGCCGCATCGCCATTGGCTACAGAGTCATTGTCAGCTGTGTTGGTGGCGGCCATCGGCATTTGGTCCATCTGCTTTTCTGCGCCTCTACGCATATTTCCGCGATGACAAGCCCGAAAAAGTGCAACGTGAGACCGCAGAAGTTTCGAACGAAGCACAAGTTCAAGGGAAGGCGGCGTAAAGCGCCCCGAACGACGGCGACGAACGAGAACGTGCCTACGTGCGCTAGGCCTGACGGCGGCATCGACGAGTGCGCGAGCAACAGTGGCTGCGATGAAGGGATTGACGCTGCGCTTTCTTTCGTCAGTGCTTCGGAAAAGAAGCTCGGCTTCTTCGAAAAAGACGAAAGGCAGCGCGATGAGGTTTGTGCAACGACAGTTTTGTGCGACACCCTCTTGCTGACGGCACTTGTGGCAGGTGCAGCATGCCCTGCTTGCGGTATTCAAAAACTTGCCGTTCGGGAGCTGGCAGAAAAGCGCAAGGGACTTTCGTCGCTCCTCGAACTTCATTGTGAAAACAGCGAATGCTCAGCGACTGTTCTTTCGTGCTCCTATACGTCACTGTGTGTTACGGCGGATGGCAGCAGCCGAGTGAGCCAACGGTACGACAGTGGGAGCTCCCGAGATAGTTTCGCTGTAAATGTGAAGGCGGTGGTGGCTGCACGCGCTGTCGGCATTGGGCATGAGCAATTGTCGAGATTTTGCTCCATTATTGGACTCCCAAAGCCAATGCACCATCAAGGATTTTTTTCGATAGCAAAGAAGGTGCACACCGCTGCCATGGCAGCTGTGAGTGAAAACTTGCGCCGATCCAGAGAGTTGACGAAAGAAGTAGCAGGCGAAACTGATGTGGCTGTTATGTTCGACGGCACTTGGCAGAAGAGGGGCCACAAAAGCCACAACGGGATTGGCGCAGTTATCTCCTTAGATACTGGCCTCTGCTTAGACTTCGAGGTCATATCAAATTACTGCCTGACATGCAGTAGGCACAAGGATATGGGCCCAGACGAGGAAGTGTGGCAGGCATTCCATGGCCCAGTCTGTGAAAAAAATGCAGACTGTCCCTCCCATGCCATGGAAACGGAGGCTGCAATGCGCATTTGGCAGAGAACATTGACTTATGACACCCCACTGCATTTCAGACTCTTATTAAAGAAAATCGTTTTTCGAGTAGCATCTCCCCTTAAGGGGGGACGCGACTTTCAAATCGCGAAAAATGGGCAAAAAAATGTATTTGTCGAAAATTTGATTTTCAATTTCTGTAACCTGTTATCTCTCAGATTTCAAAACATCATTCTCAAAAACGGCGTAGAAGTGCTTAAAAAATTGTTTTGTCACATAATGCGGCGCATAAAATCGCGGAAGTCGTGAAAAAAGGCGTGTTTTTCAAGCCACGCTAACATGGCAACGGAGCAGCCAAGAGCCGCCGTCTTTGTCTGGTCTGAAAGAGCGTTTCTCCAGCTTCAAGTTTCTCGCATCACCCACTGTCTGCAGGCGAAAAGAAACGTATAAAAAGCGAAGTCCCGAAGGTCCAATGCTGAAGCCTGACTGGCTGCGCACGCCACGTGACACAAACGCGGGAGCGCCATTGGTCTCCTGAACAGTTGTCCTTGGCAACGGCGCAAATTCTCCTCTCACACGCACGCGTGCGCCTCCAGCTGTTTATTTTTCGCGCCATCAAGCACGCCATTGAAGCGCTGAGCGGATATTTCGGTCGTGGGCGTCATGGTTTCGCCGTAGATTCTTGCCAGCGATCATAGGATCGGCCATTGTGTAAGCGAAAATACTGAACATTACATCAATTTGGAAGTCATAAGCGCAAGTCTCCGAATGTGAAAAAGAAAACATCGTACAGCTTCCAGTGCTGCCTCTGCTGCTCACGTGTTGCTGACACGCTGTCATTTGCTCCGTGCCCGTGCTCTTCGGTCGACGACTTCTCGGACCCGCAGCCGTGCTCCTCGGTCGACGACTTCTCAGACCCGCAGCCGTGCTCCTCGGTCGACGACTTCTCGGACCCGCAGCCGTGCTCCTCGGTCGACGACTTCTCGGACCCGCAGCCGTGCTCCTCGGTCGACAACTTCTCTGATCCGCGGCCGTGCTCGCCGGTCGACGACTTTTTCGACCAGCGGCCGTGCTCATCGCGCATAGATGAAAGTGCCATCAGTAACTGCCAGTACAATTCAATCTCGCTTGGAGCCTCGTTACATATTGCCACAAGCCTCTCGTGAGCGCGCATAGGCAGTGAAAGCCTCGCTCGAATTCCTTTCGGCAACAGAGCAAATAATGAAGCTTCCTGGGGAGAATGAGCAATGCACTGATGTGGAACTGGCAGAAGAGTTTTTGCTTGGACAGCTAGCAGCAATAAATGCCGTATATAAAGATGTTTTGTGCCCAAAATGCTTTCAGTGTAAACTCAGTCTTCATTTGGGGACAAGGCATGGTTTGGCAGCACAAATGATATTGAACTGCAATAGCTGTGGCATTGTGTTCACCGAGTGGTCATCATCAAAAATGGAGGGGGGCAAGGTTTTTGATGTGATTATGCGTGCTATGCAAGCCATCAAGACCACTGGGCAACTGGTCTAAATGACTTCTGGTCTATAATGAACGTGTCGCGTAGGGGCCTGCACCACAAAAATTTTCAAAAACACTTGAAATTAAAGTTCAAATCTGCCGGTGAATTGGCTGCAGCAAGTAAAGTTTTTGCAGATTCTGTGACAAGCTGTGCTCTCTGTTTATAGCCAAATGGAGCAGACATTTTAAAAAAATGTTGCAGTAGTGTATGATGGGACATGGATGACACGCGGTCATGCATCTCACATCGGTGTAGGCACAGTTATCGAGTTCTACACTGGTTTGGTGCTTGACTGTGTCGTTCTCTCTAACAGATGCCATGGCTGCACACTTGGGCCAAAAGAAAATGATGAGAGCTATAAGGATTGGAAAGAGGCATGTTTGTCAAAAAAAAAACACCAACCTAAATTCAGGCCGAATGGAGGTTGAGGCTATACTAATTTTGTTCGGAAGGTCGCTGGAGAAGAAAGACCTCCGGTACACATCTATTGTTTGTGATGGCAACAGTCGTACTTTCTTGGCTCTTTTTGAAGAAAGAACATATGGCTTCATTGTATTGGCAAAAAAGATTGCATAAATCATGTAAAAAAGAGGATGGGCTCAGCTCTGCGAACACTTGTAGCAAGAAGTAAGAAAAATCAACCCATTAGAGGAAAGGGCAGTCTGACTCAAGAACTAATTAAAAGACTAACGAATTATTATGGGATGGCCATCCGTGACAACACTGAAGTTGATGACATGCAAATAGCCATAATGGGGACGTTTCATCACATCACCTCAAGAGATAAAGAGCCGCACCATGAATGAATTGTGTCCGCCTGGGCCACTAAGCTGGTGTAAGTACCGTGCTGCAGAAGCTGGAGGCAAGGCTCCACCACAGCACAAGTATAAACTGGCAGCACATGTTGCAGCTGCATTGCTGCCAGTCTAACAACACCTTTCTGACCCTCAGTGGCTAAGTCGTTGCCAAGGCAAGAAAATCCAAAACGCAGCTGAGAGTCTCCATTCAGTAAATTGGTCTATTCTTAAAGAACAAAATGCTGCGTTGGTTGCCGCCGAAACAGCTGTGAATGAGGCCATCTGCAAGTACAACTCTGGCACTCTCTATTCATATCGAGAATTTGTGCATCGCTCGGCTTGAAACCTGGAAAGCACTCCATTCGCAGAGCTGCAGAGAAGGATCAAATACGAAAAAAGAAAGCATCAAAAGCACACCAAAGCAAGCATCAAATGCCTAAGAGGCCCCGCATCACAAAAAGACTTCCAAGAACTATGATCCCGATGCATTTTAGATAAGTGGAGGCAAGGAAGAACTCTCGAGCCATTTTCTCAAAAGCATTTTTTGCCTACCTGCTGGGATTGTGCAGCCATTTTCTTCGTAACCGTTTGGCCTATCTTGACTCTGGCTTTTTTGCCATATTTCTTGGACTTCAATGTATGTCTTGACATACTTTATTTCTTAGTTTGACTCTATGCAATTTTACAATGTGACTAGTTGTTCACCCCTAGAGTGCGCCTAGGTTGGGAAGAAAATCGCAATACAAGAATTTTGTGGTGAAAAAAAATTAAAGCAGGCATGTCATGACTTTCAGCGTGCATTCAGCTGTACAGCAAATATTCTTTTAGCCTTCTAGTGCATTTTTTAAACTTTCCAGGCACTGTGCAAAGTGCTAAGGACTGCAAATAGTAAAAATTTTTTTTAATAAAAAGTTCTGAGGATACTTCTCTGAAACTTTTGTGGAAGCATTAGGAAGGCATGCTGAATATTTGTGCCAATTTTCATCAACATCTACTAAGTTTTGAGAAAGTAGGTATTCAAAAGCCACATCCCCCCTTAAGAACTTTATAAATGCTATCGTTTCAGTTTTGAAGCAGTTATTCTCCCTGGTGAATCAAGTGTTTACTTTTTATATTTTTGTATGTACCCCCAGCTGTAATGCCCAATGGGGCTATGCAGGTATGCAATAAATAAATAAATAATAAACAACGTATTTGTAATTTGTAATGTAGACTTGCCTTGGCAAGTTTTACTGTTGTATCTTCACATGGACCTTTTACGCATGACCCACTCCTGCCTAAGGCTTCATATGAGAGGCAGGCAGTACTTCCATAATGAAAAAAAATAAAGTGTACGACACCCATGCTACTTGTTTTTTTTTTTTTTTCAGAGGTCTTTTCAGATTTGCTTTTATGAGAGCTCATAAGCCCTTTTATGAGAGCTCATAAAAAGTTTGGAATATGACCAACATATGTTTTTCGCGTGTGACAACTTCAGCGAACTCTCACTATTTAGGCTGGCCCACCGCATCATCTGCAGTACCCTCAGCAGCAACAGCAGTTGCACAGGCAGCCACATCCAGACAGTCTTCTGCGACCCCAGTTTCCGGCCAGGTCTCCACAAAAAGACAGGCAGCCAGTGCACAGGGGCGGTGGTCGTTACGGGGAGCAGCAGTCGGAGCCTTGCCTGCAGCGGCCGCCCCCAGTTTCCCGAACACAAGCTATCGGCATCGGCCAACATCTTCATTCCCACTCAGGTGAGGCCCTCCCTGCCTCAACGGTGGCAAGTCCTCCCAGACTTTTTAGCATTGGTAGCAGGAATGGCTCATTTGGTCAATTTTGTGGATGCCTCGCTATGGCCAATAAATCTTGTTTTTGCATTCGTGAGGGGACTTACATGGACAATACAGTCGACTCCTCATAAGTGGAACTCGAAGGGGATCCATAAAACTGTTCTATTTATCAGGTTCCATTTAAGCAAAGTACAGACAACTGCCGATTTTTTGGACCCTCTAGGGAGCGAAAAACCGTCCGAAAATTCGGGCAGTCCGAAAAAATGAATGCAAGCAAAAGAAACTCATTATTTTACTGATAATTTTCAATGCAAGCAAAAAAAAAACACCATTTTGCTAATATTTATGAATGCAAGCAAAAAACGCACCATTTCATTGATATTTCTCGGATCAAGAGGGTCAAGGTCGAAGTACCAGACTTCCAGAACTCTGCCAAAGCATCAGTGGGGTGGCTCTGAAAAGGGCCATTAAAGAATAATGCGTGCAGCCGACAGCGGGTGCCGTCAGGGCATTCATCTTTTGGGCACCAGACCGTTTTTCGGCCGCTTCCAAGATCTTGTTTTTGTTCATCAGGAAATCGAAAACTGTTTGCTTGAAAATGCCGAATCCTGCTCACGTCAGCCTGCGATCGGCCACTCTTCACTAACTTAATAATGGCGGCTTTCTTCTCCATCGTTAACCGACTGTACTGTTTTCCGCGCTTCGATGCCATTGATGAAGACGACAAAGGCGGAGTGGGGGCCGTCGCAGGCAAGCGAAATCCTAACGATGTGAACAAAGGAGTTTGCTGAGGAGCGTCGAAGCACCTAGGCTTAGCGTTGCAGAGCACACTTCACACGATCGCACAACCATGCACTAGGCTAGCCAAACACCATGTCGACTGCGTAAACAAAACGGCGCGACGGCAGGCAACGGTGCCTCGGGTACTCCAGAAGTGGCGCTGGTAAACATTCAAGATAGCCAGCGCGGCCAGACCAAATCGGTGTGTGACGGTTAGTTCTAGTTCGAAGTGGTGAAACGCTTCACGAAAGTGCTGCGCTGGAAGCCAGAGTGGCACGCACGATCACAAGCGCTTAAGCGAAAGGCAGTTTATTGGCGCCAAAAAATTTCAGGGTGGATAGTTTCGATTTTCAGCGAAGCACCCTCCTTGCACGATAAGCACGGGCGGTGTTCGAAATCTCAGAGGCCGTGTGTGTTTGTCCATTAACGATCAATGAGTCCAAGCAACAGATGCCGCCACAGTAGACCAGCACGCTCATTTATGCGACCGTAATCGCGTGTGAGGCAGTTGTGGCGGTTTCCACCGGAGGTCAGTAGTGGTTTCCGACCTTCCGTCGCGTCAAAAAGTCCAGAAAATTGGACTCCGGGGGGTTCGAGCGTCTGAAATTTCAGACTTTCATATACATTGATTCTATGGGGCTTGTGGTGGGGCCGCAAAGATGTCCGAATCATCGGGCATGTCCGAAAATTTGGGTGTCCGAAAAATCAGCAGTTGACTCTACACTTATTTAGTGAACCAAGACTTTTATTCAAATTGCACAAACCTCACCTTAGTCATGAGGATGAGTAGGAGAAAAAAAAAAGGAGTGGGGTGGTTTGTTTGGCAAGCTTGAGTCGTTTTTTCACAAGGTATGCACCCATGCCTGACAAATTAGCTAGAAATTCTGGACAAGCCTCATGCTCAAAATAGCGCTGCAAAAGTTCAAACAGCCTCTTTAGCTGATCGGTCTGGTGCCGCCACTGCACTGGCACTATTGTCATCACATTCATCGATGAAGGGTTGAACCTCATCTTGCACTTCGGCAATCATTTCCTCGACAGTCTCTTCACAACAGGTACAAATATTTTCATCAATTGATTCGTAGTCCTGCAGCGTGAAAGGCGCAGAGGATACGACCCGACTGAATACTTTCTCAATGTCGGCATCAGCAGGGATTTTCTCTTCGTCAGGTACTGCTTTCTTGCGCTTGAAAGCTAGCATGGGGAAAGCATCTGTGTATTGTTGTTGCCTTCACTTGCTCCCAGGCACAAGCCAAAATGTGGATGGCTGCCAATAAATGTATGCTGTAGCATTTCCCGCTGCCTGTTCTACGCAGCATTTGGTGGAGCAATTGTCTGGAGTAATGAACTTTAATGTTCTGAATAACTCCTTGATCCATTGGCTAAATCACTGCCATTGCATTGGCTGGCAAGAACTCCAGAGTGATGGCTTGGGGTACTTAAACCTGACCATGGGCTGGTCAATTATTCGCGATGAATACAACCTTCCTGCCTTGCCTTGTAAATCTTGTGTCTTCCTCCTGAAGCCAGTTTTCGAAAATGACCATGGTCATCCACGCTTTTCCGTTCCCATGGTACGCAACAGGAAGGTGTCGAACGCCTTTGAAACAACGTGAGTGCCTTGATTTTCCTATTACCAACAGCTTCGATTTCGCATCTCCTGCCATGTTTGCACCCACCAGCTCAGTGATGCGATCTTTACTGCGTTTTCCTCAACTACAGGCTCGCCTTTGAAGGTGAGAGTCTTTGATAGAAGCGCCTTATAAAAAAGACCCATCTTGTTGATGGTGAAGACGTTTTGTCCCCTGTTGCCAGTCGGTGCAAATGTCCCTGTTGACTACACCACTCTCACCTGAGATTGCTTTGAAGACTAGGCCATGGCGTGTTTTGAAGCAGCTGAGCCATTCGTCGCTTAAGATAAAGTTTTTAACACCCATTTGCATGGCGATCTCTCGAGCTTTCTGCTCAAGAATTGGTCCACCTATGGGAAAATCGGAAATCCATGCACGCTTGAACCACAGAAAAAGAACTTTTCTAGTTGTTCATAAGGCGTCGTACGCATCTGCATCCGTTTAGATGTAAAGATCCTGTTCTTAGCAGTGCCTTCAATCTTTTATGTCTTTCCAAATCCGCGACAGCGTCGATTTCGGGATGTATTTTTTCGCCACCTTCACCTTGGGCAGGCCGCTTCGATCGAGCTCCTGATGAACTTGCAGCTTTTTTTTAAAGCGAGAGTGTATGTTGCGGCCGCTTCCTTTCCATCAGGCTGAAATAACACTGTGGTACACCATATTTCGCCGCACAAACAGGCCTAACGCACAATTGGCTCCCACAGCCACAAGCGAGAATGGCTACTGGATTGGCTTGTCTCGATCTCAAGGTGTTGCCATGGTTGTGAAACTATTTTTGGCATGAGCGAGTCTGTGCTGTGTTTAGAGTTTGTGCCTTTTAGCCGTAGGTGACCAATAAGCACCGTTTCGATTAACCGATGAATTTTACTGCGCAACACATAGAAATCCAGTCATATGAGCCCGTTTAGTTCCGTTAATCAGGCATTTTCGTTTAAGCAAGTTTCGTTTGTTGGGAGTTCATTGGGAGTCCATTGTATTGGCAAATAGCATTTCATGTCAGAGTAATGCTTGAGAACACCTAAACTGTCAATGTTATACGTGACAGATTATTAGGAATTGAAAAGTTCAAGTAATTGTAGGACACAATTTGCACCACCACTGGGACATCGTGGATTACCGTATTTGCCCAAATCTAAAGCGCTTCCAATTCTAACGCGCACCCCAATTTGGCAACAGAAAAAAAAAAAGAGAGAGACCTGATTCTAACGCACACCCGAATCCGAAAAAATTAAAAAAGAGACATACTTGATTGGGGAACGAGAACGTGATTTCTGCGGACGAACGGGAGAAAAGGGGAGCAAGGTATTTTCAGCATAGGAAAAAAAAAAATTATTTACCTAATCGCTATTACTCTCAGAGAGCTCTTTGTCACTCTTGGACCAGAGCATCTCGTCTTCAGTTCCGTTCATAGCATTTGTGATTCCACACTTTTTTAAGGCTTTCACAACTATACCAGATGAATCCCATTTCAAGCTTCAGCCACCCACCTTGTCATGTCTTCAATCAAGGCACGCTTCAGCCTGTTGCCTGATGTCAATGTGTGGCTCCCGTCGACTAGCCACTCACTTTACAGTGCCCGCATGCGGTCTATCATGGGCTTGCTAATGCAAACATCCAGTGGCTGAAGCTGAGAATTTGAGCCACTGGGAATCACCACCAAGTTCGTATGGCAAGCCGCCAGATTATCTTTCACCCGCTGATCCAGGTGACACTTGAATGCGTCAAGCACAAGCATGGAGTGGATCCCCAAGTTGGCATTTGGTCTCTTGCGCCAAACACAGTCGATCCAGTGAATAATCAGTTTATTACCCATCCAACCTTTTTCGTTAGCACGCACTATAGCGCATTGCGGGAACCTTACATTCTTTGGAAGCACTTTACATTTACAGTTAAACCTGGATATACCGAAATCGATAAAGTCCCGGGAAAATTTGTTATAAAGAGGACTTCGTTATATGCAGATCTGGCCCGAAAATTCGAAAAGTAAATGCACAAGTTAAACAAAAGAGGGACCCAAGGCAGAGCGAACCTGAAACACTTAATTTACAGAAAAAAACTGCGTTATTATTGTGATAGCAATTGTATGGACTCTCTCGGCAGGTTTTGCCACCGACACCATGTTTCGTTGCAAGTCCAAATTGATAACGTGCCTCTACACATCGTAACTTTCACGAGTGGATAAAAGCGCGCAAGCGCTGCTGAAGAAGAGATCAAAAGAGTTTTCCCATCTCATATCACCTGGAAACGACATAAGATGACATCTCCCGCATGTTAGAACTGCCGTCGACTGCTTACACAGAAAGTAAACCACCCGTCTTGAACAAGCATTTCTCTCCAGGGCGGCTGTATTTGCTCACACCAGCGTTTTGTAAAAGTTCTGCGATATCGGATCCAAAAGAGTTGGCTGCTAGCCTTACTTCTTATAACATTAAAATTTTTTACTATCGCATTCATAGCATTGCATTCCACGCGCCGTCATGTTGCCAGAACTAATCAGCTAATCGCAAAAGCTACCAGCCTGCGAACTCGTGGCGCGGCGCAAGACGGAAGCAC